TATGATTTAAACTGAATGTTGATAAATAAAATGAGATTTGAATTACATTATAGGCAATATTATAATAATCTATGAAAGTATACCTATATGAAATAAGTTCGAACATACAATGGGTTCTTACAGTATGCATAAGTTCACAAAGAAATATTAATATTCACACTCATAATATATCTAACATTCTATCATACCTATTATTGTAAATATATAAGTACTTAGTACCTATATCACTCCTGCAATGTTATGATCGCTATTATAGGTACTATATAATTTCTACGGATGAATAGATTTAACGAAGATACGTTCCGGCAAATTATTTAATTTTTAGTGCATCTTTATAATATAACATAAATTGATAAAAAACTAATAACAATAAAGTAATCATCATAAGAAGAATCATAAAACAGTTTTTTTTTTTTGTTTAATAGGAAAAACAATAAGAAGAGAGAATATAACAAGAAGCATATAGCCATACAATTTAAGGTCTCTAAGTTCTATTACAATTGGTAAGGTGAGGTACACTTACTCAATCTATCTCAGCGAGGGCATATTTAAAGAGAGGATGAGTAGCGTTTGAAGACGCTTCAGCTCACTCACTTTCTAAACCATAAAAAAGAAAAGTATACAAATTTTTTCATACTTTTAAATTTTTATATCTTCTTACAGTACCTTACCAAAAACAAAATTCTAAATACCTAATTCTTTCGGATCGAGAATATTGTGCAGAAATGGCGACGATCATTAGGTATACAAATTATAACATTGTTATTATGCATCTATATTTACACGGTTTAATTACCATCATATTATAAAATTAACATTTTACGAATTAATATTTTAGGATACCCGATGCTCTCCAACTCAACCAACACTGTTTGCCGGAAGATATGTTATTCACATGTATCATTGGACACAAATGATAAGATTTATAGTCGACACACTGCTTAGGTGTGTAAAACTATATTGCTGATGAGTATAAGACTGTAGATATCGAGAAGGACAGATTTCGTAGTGGRTTGAAAAATTAATAAATATATACATACTAAATGCTGTCGAGGAGAAGAAGATACTACAGTTTGCGCCAGCGGACTACAGACTGTTTTACGATTCGTAAAAACTTCCTTACTGGAACTGAATATATTATATATAGGAAGGTATATAATAATTATGATAAGAAGTGGGAGATAATAGGTTCTACTCGTGAATCTATAAAACTATTAAAGATTCAATACTAATTTTATCGAAAAGTTTMAACGTTTATGGACATTTTTGTTTTCTGTTATTTCAAGTTATAGACAATAAGGCAAACATTTTTTTAAGTTTTTACTTTTTTAAACATTAGAATTCTTTTTTAATTTGATATATTTCCTTAATAGCATAATATTATTCTAAAACTTTAAATATATAATAATACGATTTCTCATAAGTGTTTAATTTTATAAAAAGTATTTTAAGTTTTTACGAGTGGATAGTAGWGGCCCAGCGTTTTATGGGTACCTACGTATTTCTGTGCTTGGCCATCATTTAGCTCGTTTAGACTTTAAATCAATTAGTTAACTATATTTGTATTTCGCTCGGAATATAGTCTTTCTAACAGTCGACGGAAATTTCCAAAATAAACTTCCACATAATGTAATGGCTATAGTGAATACCCAATATATACATTAATGTAGTGGTTTACTTATTATGGAAAAATATTAATATATAGTTTCATTTATAATGTATATGCTTAACATGACGTCATATAATATAACGGTATGATTTGGTCTCAACAGAGTCCTGCAGTTGTTATGAATTTATGATATCATCTTATTTGCCAACCACCATAATATAACCAACCAACGGCTAAGCCGGTCTGTGCAATGACGTCTTATATGACGTCGATATATATATATATGTATTATGTACCTATGTGGAATTTGTGAATGTGTACAATGTAGATATATGTTGTTGAAATGTGTTTTTCCCTCCACACCAACTGCAGGTCTTTTCATGTTGTATGAATACAACACGGAATTTCCCATCATTGGCTTATATCATCATGTATTAAATATACATAATATTATAATGTTWAACAGTTTTACAATATAATATTATAAATATATAATCTTTGAAACATTTTCACAGTAATAAATTCCACGCTGAGTGTAAATAATACCACAGACATATTTTTATATTTTTATATGTATGCACATTATAATATAATATCATATCTATACCACGTGCGGAAATCTATAATCCCAGAATAGTACCAAAAACGATTACGACGGAAACTGCGGACCAGTACGTGTATATAATATAGAGGTAGTCGGTATGGCGGTATGGGTACACTGCAGCAGATAAATAACGAAAGTAGATTGCGACGACACTGCAGGCGGCAGTTGGTTGGAGCACGCAAAGTCCCAATAATTTACGCCTCGCGAATGGTGTCCAAATGTCGGTGATCACGTTTCCGCACGATTGTTTATTATTAGGTATAATATGTATTATATAGTATTCTTCGGTCTCTGTTAAGGGCGGAAACTGAGGATTTCGTCGTCTTGTCGTCGCTGTATTCATAAAATATAATGGTAATATATTATAACATGTGTTAACATCGTYTGAATGTCGTTGACGAAAATTTGATTTATGTACCTTCTTTAAGTTTCGGGATAGAGAAGTAAAATTTTTAGATAGCTTATTAAAATTAATACGTTAATTATATTAGGTTAAAAGTACGTGTCGCAACTCTTGTAGGTCATTATCCTCCGGTAAACCATGTCCTTATTATATATACGTGATGTTTCATGTCGAACATAAATCTATATTTATATATACTGTGATATAGCCGCCAGCCGGGGGAGACGTCCTCGTAGATGATATTATTGTTATTGACAAAGTATCTAAATGTATTAGGTATGATGACACCTATAAATTATAATRCATACTTTTATTGCAAATATATTATATCCGATTTAACTATGAAAAACATATTTTCTACTTTCTACTTTCATTTAAATATATCTTACTTTTCATCAGATACATCATATATGGGTCAGATCTCCGTATGCGTTTAATGTGAAAATAGCATTTTTTTTTTTTAAACCGGTAGGCAGGTCGATATTATCAAAACCAATAATCTTAGAATGAACGTTATAGCCTATAGGTAAATACTTAATCGTTTTGACGATATCATCGTGCGTTATTTACAATATATTTTCATAAATCTAACGATTTCTTTGGGGACTCATAATTATAAATAGATGCGCTTCAGCATAAAACTTACGATTTCTTATATTGTAGAAACACATTTTATTATACAGATACACCGTATATCGCATATATACGCAGGTAGGTACCGAATAAATCACGAACACGTTACGAGGGTACCTATATCATACAGTTGGCCTAATCTAAACAACCATCCTTTAATGTAATATATTTATACAAATTATTTAAATATTTCGTTTTCCATACAATATTCCAGATCAGGGACTGAACTGTGCGCGTGTAATTCCCCGCACGTTACATGAATATATATATATATATATATATCCGTAGTTACAGCGGTCACAACATGTGGGAAGACAATAATTTAGGTAGTGACTATACAAATGGTGTACCTCTATATAGGTTCTAATCGAGTATATAATATACGACGTATACCTATATGTACAAAATATGATGAGGCCATTCATATGCGCGCACGACGACGACACAACGCACGTGCAAGAAATGTGTACACACGCATTTGTGCATAATACAATCATAATATATAGACAGGTATTATAGTTATACAGGTATACGCGGTAATCGACCGATTTACCGCGCGTGTCGTCGAAGAAAACTAAAAATGTAGAATGTGTAAACCAACAGTAACGGAATGAATTGGTCGTGCGCCGCGGCCATCATTGGATGAGCTCAGTCATCACTGATATAGGTACCTACAGACTACAATGTATACTATATAATAATATATTCACAAACAATATACGTATTTCGATCATTAAACAGGCAATTTACAGGCGACGTCCGTGAAACGGAAAATATAAACAAAATTCAATTCACACCAGCTGGGGCCGCGCGCGCTATATGATGGCGTGGAATTCGTAATTTCTACTGGTTTAAAAAAAAAAAAAAAAAAAATTTGGGAAAAAATTGGGTAAAAAATCTGTTGATTAAATCGTACCTGTAGACATTTACGAAAGCGTAATAGCTGCTGCGCGCACATTTACGACTTCATGCGTATGTATATAGGCCCCACGTGCATACGATAATATATCGAAGATGTATAATACATATAGGATCTACAAAAATGATATTATTTAGTTGTATATTGTATATATATATCGACATACGTGCATTACAATATCTGTGTAAGCTCTAAGTTCGGTCAATTCCATCAGATAAAAAGAAAAACTAAACTCGTGATACAGTGTATAGGCATATTATATGATTATACTCTGACCGCACTAAATCTTAAACGCGTATCCTGCATACATTATAAATAGTTTATAATTCATGCAATACATCGATAAAGGCGGTCACATAKTATATGTTATTAAAACTAGTTTGTGTCGTATGTATGGTAATAGTTTTCTGATTTTTAAGATTGAATACAGAATAATGTGCTCTTCTCCCACACACATTATTCTCATGCTCCATAGTCTAAATAATAGTTCATAATCTATATCGACTATATTCGATTGATTATTATCAACAGCGTTCCCATACCGGTAACTGTAGTATCTATAAGACAATATTGTAAATAATGTCCATCGTAAAATTCTGAGTTTGTATCCTTGAAGTAAGTGACCACGTCTTGTAYATTAAGTAGATTATATTAATAATTACCTATTGAGCATAAAATTAGAGATAGCAAATATCTTTTGTTGCAAATAAAAATAATTAATAACATTAGTGCCGAATAAATAATTCCTAATTAATAATCATTGAATTTCATATTATTCAAACAGCAAAGTCGCACTTTTTGAAATAAAAACCTAAGTGACGTGGTTTAACATCGAAAGATATACTGCAGATGCGTACCTATATTATTTCAAATAGAATAATAGGCATACAGTTATAGCCTTATAGCCTTTTAGGTTTAGGTACAACTCTTAATATGATTAGTTTAATTTTTTTTTTTTTTAATTCAATTTTATTACGCGCGGTACGCGTATTTACAAAGCGTGATAGGTACACACTATAAAATAGTTCACTCATAAAAAAAATTTTAATTTTAGTAAACGTGAGCCATATAAAAAACTATAACAGCTGATATGTGTGTGTATAATATATTATAATTATTTGTAATGGAATATATGTATAGTTTTTTCACGGGGGTGTAGGTGTACATCGTCCAAATGCAATTAGCGCTGCATTGCATGTGCAATAAAATTAATTATTTATGCATTTTTTTTCTGTTCACGTTAATTTGCCAATATACAATAAATAAAGTAGTACATATAAAAAAAAAAAACAATTTACTACATGTCCATAGGTAAAACGTAACGCGTGAAAATTACAAATTTAATTTTGTAATTACTTTTTTCATGAATGTGCACCCGCGGTAACATATTAAATCAAACCGCATGTAATATAATAATATATTAATSTACATAATGTTTTTCCAGTTATTTCAGTACGTGAGAAAATATCTCACGACCTACGAAATTTACAACAAAACAAGTTATTAAAATAACTAATTTTTTTTTTTTAAATTATAATTTGAATGATTTGATAATAGAAATGTCTCCTATTTAATACTACCCTGATGCCTATGTACACGTGTTGCACATATTATTACTAAATATAACAACCATTAACCAACCATTGACTTATTAATCCTCTATACCTAGATATTATATTAAATAAGATTAGATTGTTAGTAAGTGATCATAGATCATAGAAATATGTATCTATATAAAAGAAATAGATATATTTTTTAAATACATTATAAATGAAAAAACTATATATCATGGAATAGTAATTAAATTGTACATGGTGATAAATTAAAAATGGTGATGTATTAATTATTTAATTATTTAATTATTTAATTTATTTTAAAATTATAGAAACTGCATTACATAATAATATTTTTTTTTTTAACTCACGCCAAAATATGCCATTG